TGTATCTGGCCGAATTTGAGCACCAGATACAGGTGATTTCAAAGAGATACAGCAACTATGAAGAAGAGAAAAAAAAAAGGAAACTCTGACGTTTTCTGCTGAGGTTGGCGGCAATAGCAGTAGGATACATCCCAGTTAGGCCATGGTCTGAGTGTACCCTCAAAGGAATGGGCCTATATCTACCCCAAAATGGTAAAAGATTCATGAAAAAAAAAAAAACACAGCAAAACAATGGTCCTACTTTCAGAAAGGCTGGCATCCCCGTGAAAACGGGTGCCTTTCTCTTCTGGGCACGTATCCCCACTTATTTTGCTGGCAGTCTGTGATGACACGTGCCAGTAACTGGTTGGGGGCTGCTTGCCCCGAGAGGCATGCCCCTCGATGCATAAAGACTGCTTTAGACGGTAGATACGTGCACCAAGAGGAATGGGCTACTAGGAACAGTTGAAAAACACCCTGCCTTGCTGGCAGGGCACCTAAAACAGGAGGACTCTTTGAGTTCCCTCAAATATGGCCCAGGTATGTGGCCAAATCCATCCAAAGGAAATCCAGAAAGTCTAGAATATGGAAAGATACAGCGCCACCTTTTTTGTCTTTTGTGCAGCCAGGCCCAATGTTTATCCTGGTGCCAGCGATGCCGGCTCTGTACGTGAATGTGGAAATGGACGGGCAGATAGGACAAGCAGGAAAGCTTTAGTCCAGTTGCCCATTTTCGATGGGCCCACAAGCCTACTTGCCCGTTGCTTCACCAGGCCGGCGCCGAGCCTCAAATTTTTCTTGTGGCGAGAAGTTAACTTTTCTGCAAGGCTGGGGCCATGTACTGGTGGTTTAAGACACCACGCCTTCTCCATTCTTTCTTACTATAGCGTCTGTGTCATGTTAAGGGCCTTCCATGGCCCCCCTTCTGCTCTATCGGGACGTCATGGGTATCCGCGACCCCTACCTCTACCACCGTCGTTTGCAAGAGCGTAATTGCTCCTTCCTCCTCCATAGGAGGCAGAACCACGACCGCCCTGCGGGGATCCTTGACCCCTACCACCCCAATGAGAGCACCCGTCGCCCCCACTCCCTTGAACAACCTGTCCACATCCTCCTCTTCCAAGCTACCTCGACCACCTCTTCCACGCCCTTCCCCATGGGCCGCAACAGCCACATAGTCACCCCCCTGGGCTACTTGGCTGTCCTCTTCTCCTTTTAACCCAAAATCTATCTGTTCATAAGGGAGTGCCTCTACTCCCCCTCCCTCAAATGTTAGTAAGAAGTGGTCCTTACTATCGATGGTACCTGAGATGGTCTTATCCTTACACCTCTTCCTTTTTTGTAAGTCCTTATAATAGTGGCATAACTCAACATCTTGGAGGAATCTGGCTTGCTCTACGGCGTCCTTACTAAGCTTCTAGCGAAGTTCTCCAGGATCTGCTTCACGGTCAGGACATGATCCGGGCACTGTAGTAACTCATCCATGACGAATTTGAGGGAGGACACACTTCTCCACGAACGCCTCGCTATGTTTAGGAGCAGATATTCATCCCGCTGGACCTGGTTCTTATCCTCGAATCTCTCCTTTAAGGCCCTAAAGAACGTCCAGATGTCAGTTTGTCGCGAATACGCCACCATGGTTTTGCCGCCCACACTTCTCATCAAAGACAAAGTGAAATTTGCAGCATTGCCCCCTAGGCACGAACTTGCCATCAATACCGTGTCAAAGTGGGGAATTCACTGCGCATACAAATACATATCCATGACCCCGTCCCATTGCACAAAACTTTCGCCCTTTGCCACTGTGAAGGTCCAAGGGATCTTCACCTTAATTTTCTCTCTCTTCTCCCCTTCAGGCTGTCTCACATCCCCCTTCCGGTCTCCTCCTTTCTTGCTACCATCTCCATCATCTCCCCCGTCTCCATCACCAGGGCCTGCTCCCCCGCCTCCTTCATCTGGGCTCCCACCTCAGTGAGTCTGTTTACAAGGATATCTTCTAACCGATGTGCATGGTGGACAACTTTCTGTTCTATTTGGCGGAGGTTTACCATGGCATAGTTATTCCACTTGCTCTTGAATTCCTCTTGGTGGGCCTCTATCCTTTCTACAGTACTGCGGGTCGCGGCGTTCTCCTGAGCGGAGTGGACTGCTTGGGTGAGGAGGTCTGACCGGGCTTTGACATCGACTTCTCCTTCTTGTTTCTCCTTCAACTTCTGCCAAATTGCCTCCCCCTCTACTTTAAACCTCTATTCCTCTTCAAATTCCCTCCTCTTCTGCGCTAGCATCCTCATATTAACGGCACTCTCATGCTTTTGTATCAGGAGGGGTCTCTCGCGAGGGTCTGCAGCCTGCAGCTTGGCTCGTAAAGTTTCCAACTCCTCCTCCGTTTCATTGACCGGCAAACTTCGCCAGCCAATCATGTGCCTCATCATGCTGTAGCTGGCTGCTTTCCCTCTCTTCTTGCTATCTTACCCCTCCTCTCTTCTCGTCCTCTTCCTCTAGAACTCCAATCTCTTCTTCCTCCACGATATTCCTTGCCTTTTCTTCCATCTCCTTTCGCATCCTTTCTTCTATCTTTTTCTGCTCTTCTTCGGACTTCTTTTTCTCCTCCTCCAACTTCCTTTTCATCTCCTCCTCCTTCTCTCTCAATCTTTCCTCCTCCTTTTCCTTCTGTTCCGCCAACTTCGCGCCAATTTTGGCTTGCTCCTGCAGGGTATACGACTGCGTGGACCTACCGGATCTAGACACCACGCCCAACCCAGAGGCATGGCCGAATCCCAAGGGGAAGAGCATGCGGAGAAGGGTCCCCCATATCACGCCGAGGGCCAAGAAGCCGAACATAGGATAATCATCCATGGTGAGATACGGGCATAGTAGAAAGACTCCGCCTCCTCACCACGTAGACCTAACCCTTAAGACTTACTTTCCTCAACACTTAGCTCTAATCCTAACCTAGATCGAGGTCTACAACTCTTCTTCCCTTCCCCACGCCAGTCACTACTTTCCCCTGGAGAGCTGATGGCCAACCACCTGTTTAAGGTCTGCCAGCAAGGACCCCAGGATTTATTTAACGACGCAAACAGGACGTCGTGACCATCAGATGCAGGTTCCTTCTCAAGACTGCCCTTAGCTGCATCAGCACCGATTCGGTCGCATGCCGGTCAGTACCGGTCTTGGGGCTAGATGGGTTGTTTTACGAGTGTCCGCCGCTCATGCCCATGGTCCTTACTTTCGGGTGATGCATCCAGCTGCCGAGCATCTACCTATCCACCTACTCCCTTCACTGCGTCAACTCCGGTTCAAGGTTGTGCTGGTCAGTACCGGTCATTGGGCTAGCCGGGTTGTTCTACGAGCGCCCGCCACTCATGCCCACATCCCCTACTTTATGGGTGATTCGTCCAGCTAATGGGTTCAGTCAACATACATCCTCAACACGTAGGACAAGACTCAAAAGACTCACAGCAGCAAATGCGACCAGATTGATGTCAATAGAATGGACTGATTGCAGCAGAGGTCTCCAGGAAAGTTCAGGGAAGTAACCAACACAAAACAAAAATGAATTGCATAAATGACAAGGGCCAGGACAAGATGCACTTCACTAGTCTTGATGTCACCCTTGATCAAACTCCTCGATCGCAGGTACTCGTGCTGTCACCTGTCTCAAGCCTCTTCTTCTTCGACCCTC